GTCACTGTAATGGGTTAATACCCTTGTGTCCAAGTAGAGAATAAAAACGAAAAAGAAACTGAACCTTTATTACAGTATTTCTTTCATATAGAAATGTCAAACTAATGAAAAGGTTTCATTTTTATTATTTTTTTTTTTTTTAATTTTATTTTGCGAATTTTTCGTCATTTTCGTAATAAATTAAGTTAAAGAAAACGAAACTATTTTTTTAGTCATTTTTAAACTGTATAGGCAAAACGTAAAGTACAAGGTAGAAAATTTTATGTTTTCACATTTTGTCCATGGCGAGTTTCCAAAATTCAAATATAAATTGATACGATTCTTGATACATGTATTGAATTTGATACACATTGTAAGTATTATAAAGAGACAATATTAGTACACTGTATGTGTTCAATGCATTTTATTTGCAAAGATTATACTTTCATTATAAACATATTTTGCATTAACTAAACAACCAACTTTCTAGCACAAAAACACCCTGTAGATGTATATTCTAGTACTACACAGAACCAGTACTTAAATCACATTTTCTTCACATGACTTCAAGCCAATTATATATACATGTATGTAGTTAACAGTTGATGTAACTTGCATGTCTTGGGGTTACAATGTAGTACATACTAAGGATGCAGGATGCCTTTGGGCACCTGAAATATGATAGGGAGAAGTTTATGTCCATATATCACTGATAAAGGTAGGCCTACTTGTCTGTATAATTTTGTAAAAATTATGCATTAATTATTCAGCATTCAAAAATTCTCTGTATTTATTGGATACAAATTTTTTTTTTTTTTGTATATGAAAACCATATGTTTTAGATATTTGGGGAATTCACTGGTTAATTATTGTTTTTGCAACATTGTAACTGAAATTTACTGTTAAACCTATATACATGTAGTACATGTATACTAGTACTTTTTTTAAGTTAATTGAGAGAGAGAGAGAATTTCAGTTTGTACAGAACAGAATTAACATGAGCAGTAACAGAACAAATACTGTCATTTCTCCACTTATAAAAATTAAGTAAAACCCTGACCACTTAATAAATAGGCTGAATAGCAAAATTACACCGTTTACCACATCCTTTCAACACCAACCTGTTATCAGCACACTATAGTTGTCTTCTTTTGTGAATGGGTCATTGATCTTAAGTGTGTCCACCTTAATTAAGGTAAATGACCAGGGACTGTAATAGCAATTATACCAGTCTGCCCTTCAAGCCCCTAAATGATACAGGGTCTTCAATTAAAAAGACTTTCATTTAAGAGTATATCACTAGTATATAGGTAAATAAATCAGATTGTTTGTGAAGGTTCTGTTGTGTCTAGAACTTTGAGGAATATTGTTGGTCCTCGCATTGGCCGAGTACAGTAAAACACTGCTCAGGCAGTCAGTTTTTACCTGCAGTCCAACCAAGCAGGTCTATAGGACATGCACTTAATTTTCTTCTAACATTTTGCACACTGAGCCATTTCTGCTGCAGGTTTTGTTTAGGTCTGTTATTTTTTAAGCAAGGAAATTATAAATCTAACATTATACCAGTGATGTAATCAGGCTGTGCTGAAATTAATAAAAGAAATGAAAGTGAAGAAAAACCTTTGTGCTCTGTCTAGCTGTTCAGTACTAGTTGAAACTTTCATGCTGATTTATTATCTTTGCCCTGTGATTAGAAAGGTTCCACTTACTAGTAAGCAGAATCACACATGCACAGGGTTCAAGCTGGTCCGAGTTAGAGACCATTCGCAGACCCTGTCGTACTAACTGTGGATCAATCTATCTTCATTGGGATTCTTGCTAAATTACAGTCAGCCTATTAGATGTCTGTCACACCTTTTACAGCTGCTAGGGGGTAATTAATTATTGTTTACGGGCTTCAGTATAGGCCTTTCAGACATCTAAGCCGCTTAAAGGCTGAAAGCAGTTTAGCAAGAAATCCCTCGGAGATGGATCGACCCTGTAAGATCACTCTAGGTATGGGAACCCAGTCTGAGACACACCTCCCCAATGCCGNATTATCTACTGTAGCTGTGGTGTTTTCCTTTAAAGCCTCTACCACTTCTAGTATTATGCTTTAAAATTGGAAAAATATATATCTCTAAATCGTATAATCTGGGATAGCGCTAACACTCGCCAATTTAGACAAATGGTAAAACTGACTTAATTTGGCTAAACAAAAACTGGTTGGTTTGACTTGTTTTAGTTAAATTTAAATCATTTGGAGAAAAAATTAAAAAGTAGTGATTTGGCTAAGAGAAAAAAATTGCCTGTGCTACCCCAGTATAAAGATAAAGCGTATGATTTAGTCAGATGTCCTTGGATTTCTCATGTGACTGTGACTTACATAAGTGGTGAACTGTTGTTACCTTGATGTGAATGCTCTCTGTGTTTATTACCTGTATGTACCTGTACCTCTTTGACTGACCTGCTTTATAGTCACAGATGCTGTCAATACACATTCACATGGTAGAAAGAATCTGGATATGCTTTGTTCATAAGATCAGCAATATATTGCAAAGCACTAGAAATATTGAAGTTGGGAATTAGCTATATCAGGAATTGTCCAGAAAATAATTCTCTAAAAAGGCATGGACACATCTGTGTATAAATTCTCAGGAAGTGGATGGTTTGATAGGTAAAATGTCTTGAAATTGGGCTGCTGGTATAGCATATTACTCAAAACAAAGAACAACGTACTGCATGCTTTTAAACATGTTTTCATTGTGGAATTTAGAAATGACTTTAAGGACACAGTGTTATAGAACTAAAGGCTAGTTTAAAATTTTTTTACCTAGGATAAGTTGTACATTTTTGCCACTTCACCAAACCATTACTTAGTGCATTTTATTTCCATACAAAAATTGCAGTGTGCTCAGAATTGGGGTCGGTTGCTCTGTCTCTGTACTAAGGTTACGTACACCACTGGACCCTCCCTTGTGATTTGACTGTCATAAAATTAACATTACAAAAAGCCAATAAAATTATTTTTAGGAACAGCTTTGATCAGGATTAATATGTAGATGATCATAATGCAAGAGTTTCAGGGGTTGGGTCATATAATAATTATATACCTTTAGTTATATAGCAGTCTTACTACTTGTTCCTTTTATCATTTGAGGGTAAATATAAAATTATTTAACAATTTTGATCCTCTTATCATTTTACCTATTAATGTGAATGATTAACCCAGTGCTGTTTATGAGATGATGGCAAATTTTTGCTTTCCCCAGGATAAATTTATTAAATTAATGTAAATCCCAACATCATTGTGTATTTGCAGTGATGTTGATGTCGTAGTTGTCTGATGTCCAAAATAATTCCTCTGAACTGGCTAATTACTTTGTGTTGAGAGTCAAAATATTATATCTATTTGATGATCATGATTGCTTCTATCAAGGCTATGAGTTCGAGGAACTGTGAACTGTCCAGCCATCATTTGGACAGCTGCTAGCATAACCGGGCAGCCTAATTTTTTCAGATGGCTGGACAGCTTATGGATTTTTTTGGAAATATGACGGCTTTAGGCATACTTACACGTAATATTGTGGATGACCTGTACAGTGTACCCCCAGTCCTGGGAAAAGCCTTGAGGAAGTATTGCACGTGAAAGACAAGAGGCATTGAGTGATCAGGAGATTTTCTTATCTTCTTATGTGCATGTGATTGGTGACAGTGCAAAAATGTACCTTGCAAGTGATTTCCACAGAAACATCAGTGCTCAGTAGCTGACAAATTCATATTATTTGCTATTTATTATGGTATTTCACAGTATTTTACCACCATATGACAGAATTCTTCCCACTCTGCGACTTTCCTTCTTTCATGTATATGTATATTATTCCTCAGAGCAGAGAAAAGTTAATGTCCACCTCCTTATTTGCTTGAACTGAATTGGTAAAATTGAAATTACTAGTAGAAGAGACAAAGTTTTTTGAAAGGTACATGGGTATGTGTCTCACTGAATAATATATTAATTATGAAAACACTTCGATGACAAATCACAACCCCCCCCCCCCCATACCCTAATTGCACATGAGCTTCTGTAACAATTGAAATGTTGATAATAATCTTTTCCTGATGATTAAAACATGATTACTAACAGTATTGTTATAACTTTCTTTAACATATGTATAGGTACTCAGTCCTGGACTTGCCTGCCAAAATGAATTTCCTTGGGGAAAGAAACAATTTTGTACTTCTCATGAATCATTGCTTAGCCTGCCCAATGTTAATTTTGGATTCTGTGTTTACTTCCTTTTTTTTTAATTGGTCAATTTAGATCTAAGTGACTTATAAGTCATTTAAAACGCCTTTTTTCTTGTCAGTTCAGAAGGAGCTATTGAAAACAAGGGATTTTATAGTTTTTAAGGTATGAAGTGGGAAGAGATTCTAAAGAACCTTTGCAGGATATTAAGACTGACAAAGAGTGCCCCTTTAAAAGGAGAATTTTCTTATTTCAGGTATTATGATGTGTAGGAAATTAAATCCTACCAGACGTCATTTGCTGCATATTGTCTTTTATTATCTGCAAAAGTGATTGAGTAAACTTTAAAAAGCTCAGTAATGTGTTGATATCATTTATCTTCAGTAAACCAATAAACCAATGTAGGATTGAGAAAAGATAACTATTTCGATTGTATGATTTAATCTACATGCCAAAAATTCTAATATTGGGTAATACTACAAATTTATATTTTACATACTGTAACTGTTATCAAAAAAAGTAGATAACATATCAATACTTTCCTGTTATCTTGATAATAAATGATGTAAATATAGACCCATACATTTTGTCATTTGACAAAGTTAATGTGTAAAAGCTTGTAGGTTATAGCCCAAGGTTGGCATCAGTCAGTTTCATATGGCAAGACTTGTACAGTGGTATAGGTATAGTACTTTGTATTTTGTAGTGAATGTATTGTGACAATGTTTGGAGCCTTCTTTGTAAAGACCATTTCATTGTCATAATGAGTTTCATCTTATGCGTTTGTTAGAACTTCTTTTTCCTTTTCAACATTTACGGTTACTGAGAAGTTCAGATGACCCTTATAAAAACAATTATTTTTTCTTATTTTTTCCAGGTTGCTAAGAGGGCTAGGGTGTCATCATGATGATATAATTTTCTTTATGTCTTTCCAGGCAGCTAAGAGGGCTAGAAGATGAGAGTATGGAAATACACCAGCTGAGAGCTCCAACTAAGAATGGTAGCAGTGGCAACAGTGTTGACAGCTATGGAAGTATAAGGAGTAACAATAATGAAGAAACACCTCTAATGGACAGCAAATACGGTAGCACGGAGGCTACAAGGTATTAGGGACCATTCATAGGGAAATTTGGATTGATCTATCTTCCTGGGGAGACTTGCTAAATTGTTATCAGCTTAACAGGCTAAAATGTCTGTCATGCCTAGTAAAGCTGTTAGGGGGTAATTATCTTTACCCCTTAGCTGATTTGGTAGGCGTGGCAGATAGTTAAGTCAGTTAGTTGACAACAATTTAGTGAGTCTTCTCAGGGAGTCAGACCAATCCAGGCGGATCAATCTATAGGCATGGGAATCCAGTCTAAAAGTGAAATACTTATATAGTAGCTTAGGGGGCTTGCTTATCCAGGCCCACTAAATAGGAAACGAACAGTTATGATGAATAGCCATGAAACATCGACAACAGCCCCCCCTCCCCCCCCCAAAAAAAAAAGAAATTATATATATATATATATATATATATATATATATATATATATATCCACACTTCTCCAGCTATACCTGACTGGAATCCAATCTGGCCATTGGTGGTTGTATATTGCTTATTCCAGAGTGAGTCAATTAGTTACTTCTGCTTCAATGAGATATGACTACGAGCAGCATATTCTTTGGGTTTCAGTAACATGTACTTTTTTAATAGAAAATTTAGTGTGTTGAATTTTGAAGTTAATGCCCTCCTGGTCAATAAAGTAAGGAATCCTGACTCAGCTTACAGAGCACTATCTTTGAATGCTGTCAGTAGGGTTATCTTTAAAATGAAAATTTGTAGTGTGGCAAAACTGAGTGTTTTACATGCTGCTGATATATTGATAGTGGGTAGTGTGGCAATGTTGACTGGTTTTTGGTTGTTGCTGTTGTTCACTGGTTATCAGTCATAACTGTTTAGGAGACCTTTTTGTGGTAGATGTGAAATGGTTCTTTATTTTTTGACTGTTGAATTTATTTATCTGTTTGTTTTAAGTTCCTTGAAGTAAACGATGCCATCCCCAATAACCATGATAAAAAGAGAGTTACAGTGCATTATAAAATTCTGTGTGACATTTTAATTTCAGCCAACAAAGTGAAGTCACCATTATTAGCAATGGATCCACTGCTAACTTGATTCAAGATGCACAAAAAGAAGATACCGATAGATCAAAATCATGGCAACCATCCAAAGCAACCAGAGAGAAGTTAAAGCAAATCAAAGTTGCTCTGCTCTTTATAGCGACAATCATGTGTTCTGTAAGTAAAAACTGCATCAGTTTGATATGGTTGTAATTTAAAAGATCAAATAGATTCATTTTCAGTCAGACTGACTTTTTTTACCAAGGAAGGGCATCAAAATTTGATAAGTATTTTCAAGATAGGCTGAAGGTTGAAGAGGGGGGTGGGGGGGGGGTATGGTTAATTTTCTTAACTGACCAAGATGTATACTAGTACCAACATGTTGCATATCAATAAAAAACTTATTTCCACAACTATTCATTTCATATCTTTATTTTTTTACATAATGGTTACGTAAGGGGATATGACCTGCAACCTATAACATTTCACAGGTGCATTATGTTTAAGGACAGGTACAAATTTTCAATTTTGTCATAGAATGATATAATATTATATTTAAATCTGAACATACATTTTAAGAAAATTGCTAATACAGACATAATTATAGTCTGAGTCATAATTGTTAATTGAAAACATACATTCACTAGTTGTTTTTTTCCTTCAACTTTATCTGTAGGTCTGGGTTGGCATATCTGAAGAACATGAAGAGGAGCTACATCAGTTTTCAGTATCGGCTTACCAGCCATTAAGTAAGTGTGTGTCTACTTTATCTTCATAAAATGAAGTCCTTTCAACTGACTCTCATAAGTCCATTCCAGTAGGTATATAACAAGTTAATGTATTAAGACTTCCAGTATGTATAACCAACTGCAGAAATGTGAGTTATTTTGTAATTGCTGGAAGATGGAATCTGCCTAATCCACATTTTAAAATATTTTCAACTTTTTATTTACAGGTTTGGACATAACTCCAGGTGCAGGGCAGAGCGTAGTGAAAGTGATGATCAGTGGACCCTTTGTTAAAGCCCTGGATGACCATGGAGACTATGAGAACAATATGACACTGACGGTGGCTAACTCTGCTGCATTTGACAATGGAACTCAGAAACCAGCAGTCAAACTGGTATGGATAAAGCCCCAGCAATGTTTTTTCTGTCATTGTCTTGTATTGCTTTCAGTATTTCAGTAGCTGTGTCTAGAGTTATCCCTCCGGGCATGAGGCTGTCAGGGTGAATAGGTAACCAGTATCCAGGAGATAGACGGATACTTAGCTATTTACCTGGAAAGCCTTATTCCATGGTGGAGATGTAGCTTGATGCTGACAGTGTTGGAAGCAAAAAAAAAAAAAAAAAAAAAAACAATTTCAATACTAAGTTGTTGATTGGAGAATGGCTGAAGAAATGTTAAGATAAAAGTTTTTAAGATGGTCGGGTGAGATGCCATTCACACAAAAAAACCTTTAAGATTGTTGGACTAAACTTGCTCTGAATAATTAGTACAAATCAATAGTAATTTTTTATATGTTTTTCAGATACGAATATTGATGTCTGTATGAGACATCTGGAGAGGCTTCTGTAACTGTATAATTGATTTTGATTTCAGGGTTGAAAAGATATGTCTGCCATTAAACCTGAAGTGTAATGTGATTGATTTTTTCATTCCAAAATTTGAGGAAGGAATTTCTTACATTTCAACAAAATGTTTAAATGATATGATATTCCAGCAATCCTCGGCTATCCAGCAGGAGACTTTGATACTTTCTAAAGAAAATGCTTCCTATGAAACTGAAGAATATACGTATTTGTTTGACTTCACAGGCCCTGAGTAAGTTCCTTAAGTTTCTAGTATTCCAAGATGAGACTTGGCAATGATTTTGAACTGCTAATAGTTGTCAGTTTTATATGATAAATGTATTTTAGTAACGTAACTTTTTATTTTACAATTACATCTATTCATTAACTTCAGATATTGTTAATTTTGACACACAGTTTAAACAAGATGGAATAAGTAGTTGATGTTTTAGATACACAGTGATTGGAAGAAATTTATTAAAAATTTGAAGCAAAAGAAATAAAAATGAGAATTCCTCGAAAATTTTTTTTTCACCGACACAAAATGTTATTTTATCCAAGTTTTGAGTTCCATATTTCTGATTTTTACATTATTAATTTATGTCCATTCCAAAAGTAACTCAGAGACTAAAAAGTATTTACTCAGAAATGGGTATATGGATTATTGGAACTCTGTGAACAATTTTGGATATCATAATGGTATATTTTTATGATTAAGAAACATAGTGGCATAAACACTAAATTCTTTTCATATTTAGTTCAAAATAAATCAAATAACACTGTCATTTTTGCCATGATATTATATTCTAGTGAGCAGGGGCCATTCAAATTAAGGCTGAACACTACCACTGCCTATGGGGTCCCTGTGTCTCTGTCCTATCTAACACTTCCAGCAGATAGCCACAATGCTGTGGTATATGCAGCCATTGTTCTACTTGGTGTTTATGTCCTCATTGTGTTTGAGGTGGGTATTGTTGCTATGGTAACAAATCTGCCTCTGGTGTCTGATTTTTTATTTTAATTATTTGAAAAAAAACAAGATGGTGATGTTGTCTTTAATTTAGAATTATAAAGTTTTTAATGGAATTTATTTCTTCCAGTTGGTTCACAGGACCTTGGCCGCCATGATGGGATCAATGGCCGCCCTGGCTGTGTTGTCTGCGATGAATGAGGTAGCTATTCTCTCATAAACTCCTGACATTGTGTGTGAGATATAAATTAAAACTTTTTATTAAAAAGATATTAAAACATACAAAGCTAAAATTTTCATTTGGTTTACTTTTGAAAGTAGATTTGTTTGAGGGCCAAAGCAAAAAGGTATATTCCCCGTGAAATGAACATGCATTCAACTGATTTTCAGAAAACTTCAATTAAGAAATATTTGTGCCTGTTTTTTAAAAAAAAAAACTACATCCTGGATAGAACGTAATAATTTTTAGTAAATTTTAAGGATAAAGGGTTCTTTTTCAGTTTGTTTTGCATAATGATATACTATATGATTGTGTATTCTTTCTGTTCCGAGTCAGCTGTTATGAGAACTATTGACTAAAACGCAACACACATTTACTTTACTATCTAGAGACCAACAATGTCTACCGTAATCTCATGGCTTGACACAGAAACATTGTCACTGCTGTTTGGAATGATGGTAATGGTGGCCATTTTCAGTGATACTGGGTTCTTTGACTATTGTGCATTATTGGTAGGTATACTGTACATGTATATGCACTGGGCAAAAATTTAAATGCCCTATGTGAATTATATACATGTATGTAACATGTAAATGTATTTAATATATATGATAAATCTTTTCAAGTATTGTGTATAGCTATGCAGGGTATTTAAACATAAGAAAATATGAGTTTGGGGCATTTTGCAACACATACAGTATACCTAGCTGTAAAATGTTCAAAATGTGTACATTTCCAGGCCTACAAGTTAGCCAAGGGCCAAGTGTGGCCACTGATGACCATCCTGTGCTTCTTTGGAGCTGTTGTGTCAGCCTTCTTAGACAATGTGACTACCATATTACTTATGACACCGGTCACTATAAGGTGAGAAATGCATTATGTTATATCTGAATGTGAAATTGTTAAACATTATTGAAGAATTATTTCAAAAATTGAAAAACCTTGGGGCAAATGAGAGTGTAAAAAGATGGCCGTCAAAGATGTGTTTTTCTTTCTATTACACTTAGTGTTGAATTAAACTTTCAGTCCAATTATCTGACAGAATGACTTACTAATAATTGATATTGTTTATCACAATTCAATTGCAGTTTTATGATAATAATGTGGAACTGATTTAAGATGAACTTTAAGATGAAGTACTTATATTACCAATGAAACCAGTGTGTATGATTGCATATTACACTAAATCTCTTACCCTGACATATTTTATTATCATTATATGACAAGTAGCATGGAGAAACACATCTTTATATAGCTTTTAAAAAGCTGGCTGGAGTAAGAGGCATGTTAGGTTGAGAAAGATCCAGATTTGATCACTGACGTGTGTCCTAATGCCCTGTAGGCTGTATGTCATAGCGTCTGTTGCCATTAATCTTAACAAAAGTTGAGTGCAGTGGGTTTCATAAGAACAGTGTTGAAGTGACTCAGTGATGTTAAGAGTTACAGGGTTGTTGACAGCAGGTTTTGTCATTAATCTTACAAGAAGCTGACAGTAAGAATATGTTGTAAAAGAGATGTGAGTGAACTACTTAATGAAAAAAATTAAAGAGTTAGAGCAATGGTAGGAAAATATATATTAATTCAAAAACTGAAGAAAATTGTGTTCATCAAGGTTTTCAGCATTACATCAGCTAGAATGACTCTAGACTTGAATGACTGTTCTTTTCATTATTTTCACTTCCACTCTAAGACTTGAATTTGGACCATTTCTTTCCAGACAGCTACTTATATAAGTGTTTTTATTTGCCCCTATATACAGTTACTGCAGCTATCACTGGTTTGGAAAAAGATAAATTTATAATATTACTTAATTAGAAACTCAGTTGTGAATGATCCTCACATCAATTTATTTATATTATAATATAATTATTATCCTATTTTCCTTACCCATCAGGTTATGTGAAGTCCTCAACCTGGAGCCTAAACATTTGCTCATTGCTATTGTGTTGTTCTCTAATGTCGGAGGCACAGCTACTGCAATCGGTGACCCACCCAATGTGATCATAGTCTCTAACTCTTATCTTAAGGAGAAGGTAGGAATGAAGGGTGATGTCAGTTCCTTTATCCAGATAGGTTTATTATCAACAACATTAGGAATGCTCATAGCTGTTTGCAAGCAAAAAAGTTATTATTGTCGATGAAAGTCATTGTTAAATATTTCATGTTAATCACCATGTAAGGAATCCACTTTTTTTCATCACTGTTGAAGGCAAAAAAATCTTATTTAATGTGTAGGGTGAGAAAATTTTAAGAAGAAAATATGTTCTCTTGTTGGACACATTTGCTGAGTCTTTTCTCTTGTAGGATATAACATTTGCTGAAAATCTCTTCTCTTGTAGAATATTACATTTGCCAACTTCACAGGGCACATGATACTGGGTATTCTGTTTGTGTTAATTGGTGCCTATGGCCTCCTTAGAGTTCAGTACAGAAATCTTGCCAACCTCAAAAACAAATTCCCCCCAGAAATCGCAGGTACTGTTACCCTTACTAGCTACTTTCTCCAATTCTAATACTGCTTTTGTTGCTTAATACCACAAGCAAGAAACTTTGTTTCATGTGATTTATGAGGCGTAAAAATAGCTAAAATTAATTTTAAGCTTATAATACATGATTAATAATTATAAATTTCTACATAATGAGCATCCCAATATTTGATAAGTTGCCTAGATGATTTTTAGAATTGCGATATATTATGACTTTTGAACTTGTAGAATTGAAGCATGAGATTAAAGTATGGCGTCGCAGTGCAAAAAGGATAGCGTCTGTCACCAGAGAGGAAAGCGTGGTGAAAGCCTTGCTCATGCAGAAAGTTGTCACATTGGAGAATCTGGTGAAGAAAAAGCTTTATAAAACCAAGTAAGTTGTGGAATTAAGGAAAATGTATACCTTTTTTATCCTTTGTTAGTATCTTAAAATAGAAATTAGTTTAAATTGTTAATGTAAATGTTTTGTTGAGAGATAACTTCAAGGTATTAGCAGGCAGGAAAATGTGGTGAACTTGACATTGGAAATCGAGAGAAAGTAATAAAAAGAGTAATAAAAATATGAAGGACATTGTGTGCCATTGCTTTTACTGCTGTGCTTTAAATGATGATAACTGCTTTTTTCATGTCTCATTTTAGGCGGAGTGTTGAAAAAGACTTTAAAGAAAGTGTTTCTGAGCTGGAGAAAAAGGTATGAAAGTATGGTAACAATACATCATTTATGATGGTATTTATTCATGCTTATTATAAAAGCTCATGATCAGCAGTAATGGCAACATTCCCAAAATCCTTTTTTTGTTTGTTTTTTTCTTTGCTTGTTTTCAGAGGAAGATGATTTCTTTTATTTACCATCCACTCAAAAAATTTAAGATGTCACAGTAGATTATATTTTTCTCTTTCCAGTACCGTATCACTGACCACTGGCTATTGCTGAAGTCCAGTATAGTGCTGCTGGTTGTTATACTGGCCTTCTTCCTCCACTCTTTTGTTACACAGATGCATTTGGACCTAGGTGAGAAGCAAATAAAGCTAAATATATTATATTATTATTATATTAATTATTATATATTGAATGTAGATGTACGGTTACTGTAATGACTCTCTCTTTTCAATGGAGAACATTGTGAATTTTACTGATACTGTATATTTGAAGTCATAAATTCTTATAATTAGAATATTCTTTTTGAATAGTAGCAACAAAATTGAAAAGCGTGCTGTCTTATAGTTCAATTCTATACAGTCAATGCACCACAAATGCTACATACAAATATTAAATATTTTAAACTATTTCAGAATTACATATCTAAAAGATTGATCATTTTTCCCAATTGAAAAGATATGATCATTACCATAATTTAAAGTTGGATTTGGCCAATTAAAGCTTCCTCAAACAAAAAATTATGCCATGAAAGAATCTAGATTAATTAAAAGATCATTACATCATATTATATTTAGATGTTTGGTTTTGAATGTAAATATAATATGATAGGTGGAACCATTTCCCATCAAGTAGTTAGTTTAAGGTCCACCCTAAGCATGCTGAGTTTATTATATCTTTTGGGGTTTCACTTCTAGCTTTATGTAATATTATGGAATTGCAGTCAGTATTAATGAGTGAAAACTAAATTCAGGGAATTCTACAATTATATTCTTCTCCAAAAATGTTGATGGGATTTTCAGGATAATTCAGAAATGAGTAATAACTTACTAGTACAATTTTTTAGGTTTTGGTCCATTAATTTTAATTTTAATTTATTAAAAAAAAATGATCTGCCTTGACAGAGGTCTGCCCTCATCGGGTGTTTTTATTTTTAATTTTCAGGGTGGATTGCAATAATTGGTGCTATATGGTTACTAGTGCTGGCCGACATTGAAGACTTAGAGAGCGTTTTTCACAGAGTGGAATGGGCAACACTGCTCTTCTTTGCTGCATTGTTTGTGCTCATGGAGGTGAAAGAAAAATTGACTTCTGGGTTTTTTCCAATATAACATTATACATTATTTTAAACTCATCCTTGAGTCATTAGTCTGTAGTAGTCTAAAAATTGAGATCCTGAGGCATCAAACAATATGTTTGGAGAACACAATCAATTTCTCTCATAAAAAAGATGATTTGATAAAAAATTATTTAGATTAGATCTTTATTTTTTTAGACTAAGTATTTCTAAAATGTGTAAAAAAATGTGTTATTTTTTAGGCATTGACAGAGCTTGGTTTGATAGAGTGGATAGGGGATCAAGTGGTGGCCCTTATAAAGACAGTTGATGAGGAGTACAGACTGGCAGTGGCACTTATTCTCATCTTGTGGGTCTCAGCTATAACGTCCAGCTTCATTGACAACATTCCCTTTACAACTGCTATGGTAAGAATGAAGACTTGGCAAGGTTAAGATCTGCCAAGGAGGTTATGTTTTTATCTCGGAGTCCGTTTGTTTGTTCGTCACTAGCCAAACTCAGAAAGTTAATTTTCAGGATAGGGCTCACTTCAGAGTGATTTGGGTACTGATTCATTTGTTAGGTTATTTATTTATTTATGGTTAGTTATATAGTTATAAGTTATAATCAGTCGGTCTGCCTGTTTAAGCAACATTATGCAGAATGATACAGAGGGATTGTGGTGAAATTTTTGGTTGGAGTTTGCCAATATTTGACTGGTGAATAAGTAGTTAGTTAATTAAAAAGTTAGTTAATGAGTCATGAAATAAAATTATCCAATAATCAATTTGTTATAATATAGATTTGGTTAATTGATTGATTAACTAAGTAATAAATGGTTTATGACAATTGAGCTGCCTTGGTGGGGGGTCTATGCTCTGAGTGCTTATCTATATTTTTTAATTTAATAATGTTACAGCATTTATATATTGCTATAAATAATACCTTAATAATATGGTTGATTCATGTATTACTAACAGTTGTTATAGATAATATCTTGATAATATGCTTGATTATTATGTATTACCAACTCTTTTTTATTTCTATTTCAAGATTCCTGTTGTGATTCATATTGAAGAAAGTATTCAGCTTCCTATAGAACCAATGGTGTGGGCTCTAGCATTTGGAGCTTGTCTTGGAGGTAATTGCTGAAAGTGATACCTTTTGACCATGCATTTTATTATATGATTTTCTCCCTTTTCTTCTTTTTAGAGCTTTTCTTCTCAAAAAAAGTCCATTAACCAAGTTGTATATCAGTCAAGAGTTTAATAATTTAAATTTATATTAAAAGTAATAGGTTTCTGAACCAAGTTGTCAGTATGCTTTGGGAAAAGTAAAATTTTATTGGGCTCTTTATGTATAATCAATATGTGTCCATGTAGTCAGCAGCAAGGTGATTTTGGAATTGTAGCAATATATTGACCCTAATATTTGAATATTAAGCAGTTCAATATAATACTATATGAATATATGTAAACTGTCAAGGATAAATTATGTGGGATATGGGTACAGTCTGTGATACACAAATGTTTATTATTATTATTATTATTATTATCCTCTCTCTCCCCCCAGGAAATGGGACCCTGATTGGTGCTTCCTGCAATGTTGTGTGTGCTGGCATTGCAGAACAGCATGGATATGGCTTCACTTTTGTAGAGTTCTTCAAGTGAGTTCTTAAAAGATAGCCAAATATTTATAAAAAATACTCTTAATGCATACTTGTATGGCTTTCATCTTTTTAAAAGTTTTTATATATATGTTTGATTGGTGGTTGTATATGTTATATGTAGGGACCATTCCCAGACCCTCTCGAACTTACTGTGGAACACTCTATCTCCAAGGAGATTCTCACTAAATTGCAATCAACTTAAGTTTCTTAGATGTTAGCTGCTAGGGGGTAATTGGTTATCATTTAGCAGCTTAAGTAGGCGTGTCCAGACATCTAAGCCGCTTAAACTGAAAGCAATTTAGCGAGAAACCCCTCAGAGATGGATCGATCCTGTTAGATCAATCTAGGTATGGGAACCCAGTCTTAGACACGGCTAACGCTTCTTCAGTTTATGTATTATAAGTGCACGACTAACAGAGATGTGTTGCATCCAAATCTCATTTTCTGAATCGGAAGAATGCTTCTTAAGACTGCTGTTCCTGTATTATTTGAGATCCAAACAATGGTATAATTTTATAATATTTGATGATTATTTAACACAAGTTGAGAATAATTTCATACTGTTAGCTTGCGGTAAACCTGGACGTAGGGGTTCATCATACCAATGTGAATTAAAACTCACTGACTTGTGTTAAATAATTCTCACATTTTATCTAACTTCCAAGTGAATGAACATTTTTCCTCAATTGTATAATTGCTGGCGGTACACATGGTTTTAGTCCCGTCCGGTTCGTTCTGCCGGCTCCTGCGGCTCCGCCGCCATGTCATCGTTACCGCTTCTCCTCCTAGACTACAAGGGCCTGCGTACCCATCTCTTGGATTTAGGTCACCTATAATCTCAACTCGTTCCACGTAAAATTTGGGCTTTGTCAGTATTGGGGTCTAGGTGTGGCATNCATAATTTATCATTATTTTTCCAAGGTAAAAATGGAGTCTCAAAGAGGCCACATAAGCCATGACTTATAATAGGCTATAATTCTCTGAAGAAAAGATATTTTGGGGATTCCTTCCTAACTCATGAATAACTTCCTAATATGCCTCCATACAACAAATTTGGTTGAAATCCGCTGACCCCCACCTTGCCACCCTGGGCTGGTTCTCTCGTGGACAAGCTCTTAAGCAGTTCAATATAATACTATATGAATATATGTAAACTGTCAAGGATAAATTATATGGGATATGGGTACAGTTTGTGATACACAAATGTTTATTATTATTATCCTCTCTCTCCCCCCAGGCAATGGGACCCTGATTGGTGCTTCCTGCAATGTTGTGTGTGCTGGCATTGCAGAACAGCATGGATATGGCTTCACTTTTGTAGAGTTCTTCAAGTGAGTTCTTAAAAGATAGCCAAATATTTTATTTAAAAAACTCTTAATGCATACTTGTATGGCTTTTATCTTTTTAAAAGTTTTTATATATATGTTTGATGGGTGGTTGTATATGTTATATGTAGGAACCATTCCCAGACCCTCTTGAAGTTACTGTGGATCGATCTATCTCCAAGGGGATTCTCACTAAATTGCAATCAACTTAAGTTGCTTAGATGTTAGCTGCTAGGGGGTAACTGGTTATCATTTAGCAGCTTAAGTAGGCATGTCCAGACATCTAAGCTGCTTAAACTGAAAGCAATTTAGCGAGAAACCCCTCAGAGATGGATCGATCCTGTTAGATCAATCTAGGTATGGGAACCCAGTATTAGACACGGCTAACGCTTCTTCAGTTTATGTATTATAAGTGCACAACTAACAGAGATGTGTTGCATCCAAATGGGGCAGTCTTATTTTCTGAATCGAAAAAATGCTTCTCAAGACTGCTGTTCCTGTATTATTTGACAAAATATCCAAACAATGGTATAATTTTATAATATTTGATGATTATTTAACACAAGTTGAGAATATTTTCGTACTGTTAGCTTGCGGCAAACCTGGACATAGGGCTTCATCATACCAATGTGAATTATAACTCACTGACCAGTAGTTGGAATAACTATATAGCCAACAGTCTGAAATTATTTTCAGCTTGTGTTAAATAATTCTCATATTTTATCCAACTTCCAAGCGAATGAACATTTTTCCTCAATTGTATAATTGTTATTCTGTTATTTTCTCAGGGTTGGTTTTCCTATGATGCTGGTGACTACCTTTTTTGCAATGTGCTATCTTCTTGTGTGTCATATAGCCATTGGCTGGAATGGCTAGTACAAAATGACCACAATCTTGACCGTTCGGCAAAACTAGTGGACCATAGATTGATTCTCATTGTCAAACTGGGGATATGGAAAATGACGGGAGATTTGAGTCAGTTGACTTGGGCCTAATAGTAAGAAAACCACATCTTTTTAAACTATAAGAACAAAATAGGATTTATACTGGATGGTGCTCAGGTTTGTTATTTTCTCTGTGAAAGACTTTCGTTGTGGAAAGTGTTGGATCATAGGTGCACTGTCCAGCATACATATATCGAAGGAAAATCGCTATCGACGATGGATCAAAATGAAAGTACACATTTCAAGACATTTAAAAGGTACTGCATATGAAGAACAGTGTTTGATATGAAAGTTAATATAACATGCTGGTTTTTTCAAGTTAAAGAAATACTTGAAATTGAGAACAATTGATATTGTTGGTGAGGTTAATGTTCAAGTACTTAGTGATTCCAAGTTGCATATCATATTACAAGTCTTCTTGTATTTATTAGTACTATTACAGTAAGATTTTCTTGTATTATATTGAATATTCAACTTTCATATATCATTAAAACAAACATATCAACATGAAAGGAAAACAGTAGAAGTTCTCTAGATAGAAGATACTCCATATTTTACAGATAGGAAGTTATTGGACTCAAAATAGCAGAGTGCATGTTATTAAAAAATGTCACAAATGCTTTAAGAACTGACCAATATGTGGACAATATTTTATTTAATATGTGATATTAGACAAAAGATTAGATAAAGTATGGTTTAGTATTGCAGGGTGAGGGTGTTTAATGAACTGACATGGTTCTAGATTTATATTTACCATAAATGATGCTTTAAATTTTGTGATCTTCCACATTATATAAATAATTATTGCTTATTTTCCATCTTATTGTAATTAAATTATTGATTTACATAATGATGATGTCATCAGTGGGACAGGTGCTATGAAGGCCACACAGGGACAGATATGTTGTAAACGTTACATTCTTTACAAGAAAAAAATACTGTTTGGTGTTATGAGAGCTATAGCTAAGATACATAAAAATACAGTGCAATGGACTTACGCAATCAGAAGTAAATTATATGTGAAGAGATATGCTTTCCAGTGATAATATAAGTGACAGAGCACACTTGTTTTCAGGTATATGAAATATAAATGTCATAATAACCAGCTACATGTGACTTGAAATTTTTGTTTCTCACTTAGAATATTTTTCCTGATTGTTTTTCTTCCTTTATCATTTTTAGTAGGAAGAATTTGTGGTCATTTGCAAAAGGGATTATGAGCATCTGGCAAGAGATATTATTATTATTATTATTATTATTATTATATGAGCTGTTTATGGAATTAAATTATCTTAGACATCGATTCTGTTCCTGATCAGCATATTTAACTAATAGAACTGATAAGAGATTTTTTTGTCAGTAGTATGTATTTATATATTTACATATACTGCAGTAGCACATGCTTGGACAAATCAGGACATTAACTGAAGAGAATATTGAATGGAAAACTTATTATTTTTTCAAATATTTTTTTTCTTAAATGTGATGGTTATACTAAAAGGACAATTAATTTTTATAAATCATATGAACAACCCTTGACTATCATTATGTGAATGCATTTTATATCAATGGTCATAAGTCTGTCATATTTTGCAGTATGAATTGATTTTTTTTCCTGGAAATTAGAAGAACCTGTGATACAAAGATGAGCATGAATAGTAATACATTCCACTTATATAATATTTCTATGATTTATTTATTGATTTATTCATTGATATTATATGATTATGAGTTTTGTTCCTTTTTTTCTTAAGTTTATTACTAAAACTTGCTATTTTCTACCCTTTGGCTGCAAATTAAAATCTGTTGACAGTTAAGATTTTATTTTACTTGTGTGTATGGATTCCATATCCTGTGTAGAAAATGGAGAAGTAAAATTATGTTAAATATGCTGAATTAAACATGCTGAATGTAAAGGCTGTAGTATATGGCATTATACAATACCTTTGGAAGTGAAGATGGTTAACATAGCTGATATTGTTGTTGATATTTATATGAAATGAAGTAAACATTATTTGCAAAGATTAATCGACTGTCTGTTATTTTCATTCTAAGTTGTACTGTACTTTCTGTGCGAAGTGGAGAATAAAAAAATGACAATGTTTGTTATGTGTGATGAATAGCTGATGGGGGGAGATATAAAATGCTGCTATTTCACCTAAAGGCAGTAGCCAAAAGCAAATAGCTCTGAACACGGCAAACTTTGCTTCAAACGGGAATAAATTGACTCAGTGCTTCCTGCATATTGAGGTAGTCGCACCGAAAGTGTTTTTGTTGGGGTGAATTTGATGCTGAAATTATTCTTAAATGTGTATCTGATGTGAATTCTGCAGAATGGTTAATAGGTTGAATCGAAGAAGATGGATAATCCGCGTAGGAGGCTTTTTCATCTTAGTCCTGGTTTTCTACGCCTATCGTAGGATGCAGATAATACGTGGAGATGTTTTAAAAAGTCCCAGGAATGAAGTTTTCCCTGAGGAGCAAGCCCCCGTGTTTGTTGCGGCTGAGGTAGTGTAGTCAATAAGTGTAATGTGGGGTTGCATTTTATCGTAAAAAAAAACATGCTATTTTCTACTATTTTTGTTCGTTTTTTTACTCATACTATTATTAATGACTTTACACTCTTAAGCTGTTTAGGGAGTGAAACCGCGCTTCAAGACTCAGGCAGTGCGACCTTTCTTTCTTGTTAGACAGAGAACCGCCTGCATAACATTGACAAGCTGACACAGACCCTGGGCACCTGCAATATGTAGTTCCCTTTAATGAGAATAGAAAAAGACAAAATAGAAGAATATATGAAAAATATATAGCAATGGGGAGTTTAATGTGATGTTGGGAGTGCACAGTGCTACAAGTGTGTCTATTTGCTTTTTTGCTTCTTTAAAGCATGCTTTCTTTGCAGGCTACCGGCCCGACGGGTCAGATATCTGCAGGGAGTTCTCTAGATAGTTTTGCTACTGCCCCATGTGGCCAAGTTTGCGATTACAATTTGCACCGAAAAGAAGGAGAAACGTATCTTAAAAAGGATTTTAATTGTCTTGCGCTCTTTCGGAGAATGAAGCACCCTCCTGGAAAAGTGTATGATCCACCGTTACGAAAACCACCCCCGGAATTAGTGGAGGCATTCACACAGAATGGAGAACTCGATCTAGAATTCTGGTACTGGAACTTTAAGAATTATCATCATGTTACATTGTTCAATAAAACCTTTATTGACACATTAATCAAAAACGATAAAAACAAGAAAATGATTGGCGCATATGGACATGAAAGTGCAGGTTTAAAGGAATTACTACAGAAATATGCTGCAGAATTGAACGGTAAATCAGGAATCGTAATTGGTACACAACACCCCTGGGTGGAAGTGATGTTGCTGAACGTCGGAGTAAATCATGTGACAACCGTAGATTACAATACAATTACCATAGAGCACCCAAATATCTCTGTAATATCAGTGACTAACTTGGCAGAGAAAAATCTGGATGGGAGATTCCAACCAGCAGACTTCGCCGTTTCTTTTTCCTCCATTGAACACGCGGGCCTGGGGCGATATGGCGACCCTGTAAATCCTTACGGGGACCTCGAATCTGCAGCACAAACATGGTGCATGCTTAAACCTGGGGGTCTTTTCTTCCTGGGTGTTCCTGCCAACTTTGGGAAACGCAAGGGGAAAATACGATTTAATGGAGATCGCGTTTATGGCGAGGCGAGACTGGAACATCTTACGGCAAATTTTCTGGAACTTGAACGTCGACCTTTTGGGTATGATGGTATAATTACTCTGAGGAAACCTTTATCAGATTGACATGTCTATTTCGATAAAAACCTTTGGTATGAGATATATATACATGGAGAGAGACCATTCAGATGTGTTTCTGTTGACCTTGCCAAGCCATGTACTTAACTGTACCTATATTTACAACATAATAAATTCGCACATTGTGAACTATCCACATGCGGTTTAAATATGTATCTGTGAAAACATGGACTTCATTTGACCAATGAATCATAATAGATAATTACTGGTGAGCTTCTCAATTTATGCGCTGGTATATTCAGTCTGTAACATTTAGCCTCGACCAAAGTAGAAATACATTTTAACGTAGAAATACAATTTTAAAAAGTTGGAATCGGAGGGATTATTCAAAACATTTTAAAATATTTTTTACTGTCAAATACTTTCTTGAATCATGACCACATATGCATAAAATCTGCTCGGTTTTATGTAGCGTTTTCTGCGTCTAGTCCTCCTATCCAAAATTTCTGCTGTTTAATAAATGAATAAATAAACAAATAAATCCGTAACTCTCCTGAATGCGCTGTCAGCTTACTTGTACACTCTAAAATGAACGTCATATAATGGAAGCGTTCACAATAAGGATGAGAATCCAATATGTTCACCTTCGGCCGATCACAATCAAGCTGTACCAAAGCCTATGCTTACTAGATAAAGTGACATAAATGATAATTAAATAGGCTTACTTACTTTGCAATATTAAAATTTAAATTGTTTGTGAGACATGTCCGTTGCGAGCATGAATAAATAATGGCTTTACTGTTTAGATTAACTTAGATGTAACTGCCTATTGCCATTACAGCAAACTAAACAAATCGTAACAAATCTTATCAAATCTTATCAATCTTATAAACTTATCGTCTCCAAGATTCGAATTAGGACATTTAAGAAGATTTGCAAGATAATATAACTACAACTGTGGGGATTCACAAATAAAACGTGTACAGATTACCTTTAACCACACCGCCCTGGAGGCCTCATAAACGAAAATTGCCATATGCAAACTCTAGCCTCGGATTTATGAGCACGAACGTCAAGTATAACGAGGCCGTAGCAACAGACCGAAGGTTCGTTGGTCCGAAAGTTCACTATAGAACCTTCTTGGACTAATGAACCCTTGATTAAAAAAAACGATGAAAATGTTATCATTTTTCGGACCAATGAACCTTCGGACTATCGAGACGCACCAAAGTAACGACTCAAACAACGATTTCATGGCACGTACCTAAAATTGGCGAGTGTTCACATAAAATTTGATGTTTATGAATATGAGTTTTATGTGAATTATGCATTTTGCAATAAATATAAATAAGTGTTCATACACGTGTAGTCATTTGCTTTAAAATTATTATATTGAATTATACATGTAGTCATCTGATCACAACAGAAGTGAAAATGTGGACATGGAAAAATCCAACACTTATTAATGACTAAAAACCTTTTCCCGAATATGTAGGGGGGGGGGGGGGGGGCCGGATGAAGACCAGTGAGGCGTTGGCCTAATTAGTACCAAAGGGACAACAATTATCTCTGTCGACCAACCAAATAGCGGCATACTACTCAAAACAGCAGCATTGGGAAAGTGAAGAAGAACCAAAGTAAGTTTCGTGGATTTTTCTCTTCGTCTTATTCAACTTATAGAATAAAAAATGGGTATATCGTGAAGCTGTATGGTTCTAAGGTACATGTAGGCGAGTTTTCAAGTGTATAGATGTCAGTCACTCGATAAGTCACCCTTTTATGCGATCAAATATCTTTTGAAATAACACTGATTCATCAGAAGTTTTTAATGGCGGGTGATATTTTCGGTTAGAATCAGAATGGACAGGGCACGTTTATTCCTATTTGCTGCTGGCAAGGAAGCGTGTTTACATGGTTTACGTGCTTGGAATGCGTTATCCAAGGGGGATGTTTAGCTAATATAAATCAAGTGTGTGTGGGAGTGTGTGTGTGTGTGTGAAATATGGTTTTAATCAATGCTTATTCATCAGCCCAAGGACCCTGTTTTGCGCGTTTCTAGATCGATCTTTTCTATCAGTGGCGGATTTAGGGTGGTATGGGGGGTCTTGAGCCTCTTTCAGTTTCTGAAAAAAAATCACACCAATTTGTAAAATCAAACGATGAGAGTCATAAAGATGATGAAATAAAGCAAGGAAAAGAAATATTGCAAGATGGATTAACTTGAAATTGGTTTTATAATGGTTTTATTAATGAATATAAAATGGTACATTCGAAGTATGTGAAATTTAGCACATGTTGAGTAGACCCTTTAATTATTCAAATCCTCTGGAGGGCAAATATCCTTGTTATACCCACGTGTGATTAACAAAAGCCCGGACATACAGCATAAATTATGCAGATTGCTTTTGTCATACTCTGAACTTTGAATGTCACCTCTTTACAAATTTGACAAGAAACATCACCAGATAAGGATATATTAGGTGTCACAGTGAAAATCAACTATCACTTCAACATGTCTCCCCTTGACATTTCCAAATATTTTAAAAATTAAAAATATGTCAGGAGTTTATAATATTTCAAGCTAGATTGTGTTAAACCATGCATTTGTAGCTTTTTTTGTATAAAACTGCATGTTACAGTCAAGAAATATCTACAAGTTGCTTTTTCTCAAGCAAAAAGTTACTGTTTTCGTGAATTACAAAATGACAGACGATTGATGCAAGTATTCCATGCTCTTTTTCAGCTTGGAAAAATGACAAGAAAAAAATGTTTTGCCTCGATTCCCCGNATATTAGGTGTCACAGTGAAAATCAACTATCACTTCAACATGTCTCCCCTTGACATTTCCAAATATTTTAAAAATTAAAAATATGTCAGGAGTTTATAATATTTCAAGCTAGATTGTGTTAAACCATGCATTTGTAGCTTTCATTTGTATAAAACTGCATGTTACTGTCAAGAAATATCTACAACTTGCTTTTTCTCAAGCAAAAAGTTACTGTTTTCGTGAATTACAAAATGACAGACCATTGATGCAAGTATTCCATGCTCTTTTTCAGCCTGGAAAAATGACAAGAAAAAAATGTTTTGCCTCGATTCCCCCCACCCCACCCCACCCCCCCCCCATTTAAAATCCTTGTGTCACCAGTGATGTCAGAAAACCACACATCACAAAGCCTTTCATTGAAAAAAAAGACTTCCCATTCTTCTTGGCATTTCAATCATCTGTCATTGAAAATCTGTTGCCGCCAGTTGAAAGATGATTTATTGTTCGTGTTAGCCGAAGAGTTTGAAATGCTGGTAGAAAATTGTTTGGGCTTCTTACAGGGGCTGATGAGAAGTTCATGTTGACCTCTGTGGACAATATGGTCTCCAGGGAAGGAGATCTACAAAATAAAGTTACATAAAATAGGACATTTCTTCATAGATCCTTGGAAAGAGTGACTCAATATGAGATAATAACATTGTCGAATTGCTTTATAGTAATGATGGGCCCACTGTCTCACAAGTTATAAAATTTAAAGTATCTGGCAAAATTTAAAATTATAATATCATGTGTGCTGCCTGCAAAGAAAAAAAAACAATCTATTCTGTGTGTTTAAATGGAGAGGAAATCTTGCAAAAACTTTGTTTTCACACTTCTTTTAGTATATTAAAAACTATTAAAGATGCCTACCTGTATGGTTTGTTTTCAAATTTGTGCTGTGCTATCTGTAATAATGTTTTAAAATCCTCTCCACTCTCAAGACTCATTTTGTAAAATGCTCCATTTTGGTTCTGTAACAGTTCGTAAGGTGTGTCAAATTCATTTATTCTCCCTGTCTCCAATACCTGGAAATGTTCAGAAAATTTTACATTCACCTTTGGCAATCAATTGTCAATTTACATGGGTTGCACTTTAAAATGATTTGAAAAAGCTGCAAAATCACCTTTCATTTACCAAGCACTTGTATGGTAGCTCGCAGCACTATGCGTTTGTCAGTATCAAAAAAAAAAAAAAAAAGCAAAATAAGCAGCACTGGTGTAAAAAGGGAGTCTTTTTATTCTGAGAGTTAAATTTCCCTGTGAGTCACAAAAAAAAAAAGCTGAGTCAGTAAGCACATTTTTGCCATATAAGTTCTTAAAAAATACATGCACCTTGCTCACTTGAATGTATGGTATATTACACATATATAGCTGCCTGCATGTGATCCCTGCTTCAGGCCTACCCAACTACCAGACTCGGCACCGAATGAGCCTGAATTCACCAGTAGATCAGAACACACTACCTATTTTCAAGGTGTATGTCAGTAGTGCTTTGAAGTATCAGACACTACACTGCTCTTGCCTAGTACGCGATGTGATAGTGATGATTCTCAGAAGGGTTGGAAAGTAGTGCATCTCATCTCAAGCTTTGTTCGGGGTATGATACTGTAAAATGCACACTGATGCACACCTTGAAAACGGTGAATTCAGGATCATTCGGTGCCAAGTCTGGTAGTTGGGTAGGCCTGTGCTTCAGAGGTAACCTACCATAACTCTGTCATAGTCAATAATTGTGCGCAGTCTGTGAGCCAGCGTAACTACTGTGCAATGCTTGAAGAGAGTCTTGATTGTCTGTTGTATGACAGCACTGCCTCTGGAATTAGAAGAAGGAATGATCAACAGCAAGTATCTCAAGAGTCAATATAGTTCTGTGGAGTGATAAAAAACTACATTATAAATGATTTGCGATGTAGTTTGTCAGTTTTATTCCACATGACTGTGAAAGGTATCCTAAATAAAGCCAATTTTTTTTGTTGTTGTTGTTGTTGTTAACAGTAAATCGACAAGGTTACTTGTGAAGAAGGAACATAAAATACAATTAATCTATCATTAAGAAAAACAAGAAAACTCACTTTTGCACACTTTGTGAATCTTAATTTTATCAATGTATTGCAAAGAACTACATAAAAAGCTCTAAACAATGAACAATGTCTACAGTCCTGAGGTATCACAGAGCTGATGTGAAAACAATGCCTTTTAGCTATTTAATCAAGGAATATAAAACACTGAAAGCCATAAAATCCTCCATGCCCTTTGGTTAATCTGTATTCATTTAAATATTAAATATATTTGTATCATGTTTATGACTATGCAAAACATGCAATTATCTGTTTCTAAATAAAAGTGGAACTGAAGTATTACCAATTGATGAATCTGTAATTTACCTCCAATCTGTATTTGTTACAGCCTCCTCCAGGACCAGAATTTTTTTCTGTTTCAGCGCTGCCCTGGCAACACAAACTAACTGGAGCTGTGATGTACTGAAACCACAGGGGTTGTCCGCACACGTCTCTGTGTACAGGTTCTCTGGCAACATCAGAACTTTTTCTTTTAAATGCACCTGGAAATAAATGCAATATATTGTGACAATTATTATATGAAACACTGTGGCAGTAAACTTGTATGTGCACAACCACACTCTTTGTATGGCCATGTCCCACACGTTGAAATTGTGGACCAGATGAGACTGTCTTCTAAATATTTTGCATAGCTTATAAATGATGAAATATATTAGTCATGTACCACAGTTATTAAGTATACTTGGACAAGTTCTGATCAAATGATAATGTGCAATCCTCACAAATGCTAAGGGATGTAAAAAACTCATTAAACACTTTTCTTCGGACTGGATATTCATAATTATAATAATTTTAACAATCATAATAATAAATTTGTACAGTTCAACACAGGAACAACTGCAATATTAATGATGTTATTCAAACTTATCACACTAGTTTATTCTTTCACTTTAGGGATGCATGTAATTCACTTACCCCCTATATCATAACAGTTCAAATATTGACATGCTTACTGGTATTCATTTCCTCACCCTCCCCTGGTCAACCCCTGCCCCCCTACCCCCACCTTCTCCTCACCTCGTCCAACATTTTCCAAATATGTTCATCAGTAAAATCTCCATGTGGATCTATGTTGTCTCGCACAGTGCCATAAAACAATACTGGATTCTGAAACAGTTTAGGGTAATTACAAACGATTGTCTACACACACTGTACTGTTCACAAAACTGAAAAAGGTTATGTTTAAGTTTCACATTTTTAATCCAAACAGTGTACTCAAACATACAAAAAAACCAGCAAATCCTCATTTTTGCATTGTAGGAAAAAGCTCAATTTATCAAGTGTTACAGTAGTAAAATTTTGCCATTTTAAGATAATTTAATATCTTAACAGCACACAATGACGTCTTATTCTTATGCAATGCAGCTTAAAATCTTTTTACAGCCTTAAGATAGACACATTTCCAGGAATTATACCTCTGGAATAACAGCTATGCTTTCCCTGAGCTTTGGAAGTGGTATTTCATGGATGTTAATGCCATCTATTCTGATGGTGCCAGAAGATGGAACAAGCCCCAGTAGAGCTGAGAGGAAGGTTTTCTTGCCAGCACCAGCTTTGCCAACAATCCCCACCTGAATGTCAAGGTCACTATATTTAGTCAATTCACTATCGTTAAATTTCATTGCATCAAAAACTCATCAAATGTGTAAGGAATAACATATGAAAGTGAATGACATACATTTATACACTAAAACAAATATTGGCACACAAACATACACACACACACACACACACACACACACACACACACGACATACCGCTTCCATGGGTGCCGGCTAATGGGATAAAAGAAATAAGTGCCTTAATTATTGATATGGAGATATAATTGAACTGTTGTTGTTTTATAACAAATATTATTTTGCCTTGATCACATCAAGCAGTTCCTCACCATTTCGTGAGCACGTATACAGCACCATGCATTCCTCAAAGCCTTGGTGTTGTCATTGTTGTGGTTGACAGAGACCCCTTCATATGTTATTATACCATACTGTGGCCAATTAGACGGCATAAGACTTGGCGTGTCTGGCTCAGTGTCCTCTGTCACCAGGGATGTGTAGGCAAGAGTCTTCTCTACTGATGTCATCTGGAACATTTTATTTACAGACATAAGTATTATGATATATATATCTTTGCATACTTCACCAATTTTCAGACAGACAAAATTAATGTTTTAAGAAAAAAATTATAAAATTCTTTCTAAATTAACTAGTGAAAAAAGACATAAATGATACGGAAATAACAAGTTAAAATTTGTCTGTTTACACACCAATGTAAAAAGTACATCAGTATGTATACATGTGACATTGTACCTGAGTTTCCACATCTGCAGACTGCCTCACTGACCACTGGAATAGCCCCAACATGTTCATGGCATAGGTCAGTGACAAACCCACTAGACCCGCATCCAATGCTGGACAGAAAAAAAATTGAGGTATTAACAATACACAGCTTAAATGTCTCTTAATCATATTTTCTATGTCTACTTTAGCCTTCAAAGGTACTTTTAAGTAAAATATTTAAATACTTTTTTCCAAATTCAAATCTTGAATGATACAAACCCTCAAATGAAAGTAACCGATTGCTTTTATCATGAGGAAAAATTGATTTGGTGTGAAAATCCTGGAGGATGCTATTAAGTAAATTTAAAACTATGTAATATTTATTTACCAAAGGATTCTTTTGCACCCACTAATTTCATATCTGATCAGTGCCCCTTTATTTTCAAATTGCCAATAAGATTTATTTTCACAATCAACCAGGTAACAAGCAGACATATACCCCTTGCAGTATATCTGAAGATGTGAAAATGAAAATTTAGCTCTAAAATGACAGGCAATCTTTTTAAGATTGCTGAGATATTTAAAAAAATGAATTTTTATTTATTTCTGAGTATTTTATACAATCCATCAATTCTGGTACATATGACTCATTACTAATTATATATAAGGCCACACTTTTTTATTTTTATGGATGACATCCTCTGGGTACCCCAAAATCGGTGCGAGAGGGCGAAAAAAAAAAAAAACAGTCCAAAAAAAAAAAAAAA